CCTCAGGCCGTTTTAGGAAGTTGAGGGCATTATACTAAGTGAAATAAGTCCCCCCCTGGTCAAGCTGAGGCAGGGCACGTGTTTGTTATTCAAGGAACCAACCCCAGCGGGGTTTTTCATCTGAGGGAGAAGAGCACTGGCTGTTTCCTGAGGCCTCCCCGAGTTTCTTTGTCGCATTTCAGGATATGGCAAAACGTGCTCCTAGCTTCATAGTTAAAACCTCAGTCTTTTCAGGCCCTTTGCTCATTTTTAATTGCATTGTTTGTTTGTTTGGTGTTGAGTTTTATATGTCCTTTATAAATTTTGAATATTAAAAATATCAAATGTATCACTGGTGAATATGTTCTCCTATTCAGTGGCTGTCTTTTCCTTTTGCTGATTTTTTTTCCCTTGCTGTGCAAAAACTCTTGAGTTTGATATAGCCCAATTGTTTATTTTTTTCCCCTTGCCCAACAGGGGAAAATATTGCTATGAGAAATGTCCGGGATATTACTGCCTATGTTTTCCTCTAGGATTTTTATGGTTTCATGACTTACATTTAAGTCTTTTATCCATTTTGAGTTTATTCTTGGGTATGTTGTAAGAAAGTGGTTTAGTTTCTTTCTTTCTTTTTTTTGCACTTAAAAAACATATTTTTTAACCAAAAAGAAAATGAGCAAAAGAAAACCTCAAGGCTCTAGCTGGAGGCCAAAGCATTTTTCTCCTTTTATTGAATAGACTATCTTTACCCCATGGTATGTTTTTGATTCCTTTGTCAAATATTCATTGACCATAAAGGCCTGGATTTATTTCTGGGTTCTCTATTCTGTTCCATTGATCTGTATGTCTGTTTTTATGCCAGTAGCAGGCTGTTTTGATTACTATGGTCTTGTAGTATACTTTGATACCAGGTAGCATGATTCCTCCCACTTTGTACTTCTTTCTCAAGATTGCTAAAGCTGTTAGGGGTCTTTTTGTTCATTGTAGCATTATTTACATTAGCCAAGATTTGGAAGCATCCCAGGTACCCATTAGTAGATGAGTGGATAAAAAAGCTGTGGTATATTTACACAATGGAATATTACTTGGCCATTAAAAATAAGGAGATCTTATCTTTTGGGTCAGCATGAATGGACCTGGAGAGTATTAAGTGAAATAAGCCAGTCAGAGAAAGACAAGTACCATATAATTTCACTCATATGTAGAATATAATAAAATAAACTAACAAACAAAATAGAAACAGACTCTGATAGAAAACAGACTGGTAGCTGTCAGAGGGGAGGGGGGCTGCAGGGCTGGGTGAAAAGGGTGAAGTGATTAAGCAAAAAAGACCCCATAGACACAGACAACAACATGGTGATTACTAGAGGGGAAGGAGAGTAAAGGGAGGTAGGAGAGGATATAGGAGGATAAATGATAATGGAAGGAAACTTGACTTGGGGTAGTGAACACCCAAAACAATATAAACAATATAAACAATATACAGTTGAGTAAGCATAGAATTATACACCATTAACCAATGTCACCCCTATACATTCAATTAAAAAACACCCACAGTCTTCTGGGAACATCTGTGAAACACAGGAAAGGTTTTAAAGTCAGTGTTTATGGCATTTCACTGAAGTGGGCAAAGGAATTGTGAACTTTAAAAAAAAAAAGTAAGCATAATACATTCATTTTCAGGAACTTTTTTTAGAAAGCAAAAGGTCTGGCCAGTGTGGCTCATTGGTTGAGCATCAACCTATGAACTAGGAGGTCAGGTTTCAACTTCTGGTCAGGGCACGTGCCCTGCTGTGGGCTCAATTCCCAATAGGGGGCGTGCAGGAGGCCGCTAATGGATGTCTCTCTCATCAGTGTTTCTATCTATCTTCTCTCCCTTCCTCTCTCTCTAACGTTGATAAAAACATATTTTTTAACCAAAAAAAAAGCAAAAGAAAACCTCAAGGCTCTAGCTAGAGGCCAAAGCATTTCTCTCCTTCCAATTGCATTAAACAATGCCTTCATGATTTGTGTCTGTGTGTGGGATATGCCTTACTACACCCCTTTTTACTTTTATACAATCTTAGGGGGGAAAGTGATTTTATAAAATTATAAGGGGGGTCATATTTCTAGATTTTAATTCTCTACGTTAACATTTGGTCGCTTCCTGCGGCTATCCTAACAAATTACCACAAACCGAGTGCCTTAAAACAACAGAAATGTGTTATTATAGTTCAAGCCAGAAATCAGCAGTGAAGGGGTCAGCAGGGTTGGCTCCTTCCAGAGACCTGGAGAATTGTTCCATGCCCCTCTCCTAGCTCCTGGTGGCTGCTGGCAATCCTTGGTGTCCCTTGGCTTGAAGATCTATCACTCCAACCTATACATGCCTCTGTTGTCTCACGACATTGTGTGTGTCCAAAGCGCCCTTTTTTCTATTATTTGCCCCCTGCTTTGAGAGACATGGCACAAAACACTGAAGTGTATGATGTGATTTGATATATGTGTATAATGCAGTATTAACTATAGTCATCATGCTGTCTTCTGGGAATCATTAGATTCCCCGATCTTATTCATCTTGTAACTGGAAGGTTGTATACTTTGACCAGCTTCACACATCCCCCCACCTCCCCCACCCTGGGAACCACTCACCTGTTTCTATAAAACATTTTTTAGATCCCACATATAAGGGAGATCATACAGAACTTGTCTTTCTCTGACTTATTTCACTTAGTACAATGCCCTGAAGTTCCATGTTATTGCACAAGGCAGGATTTCCTTTCTGTGGTTGAATAACGTTCCATGTTTTCTGTATCCATTCATCCACTGACAGACAGCTTCGGTTGTCTTTTGCAAAAATGCTGCAACAAACATAGGGGTTCAGATTTCTCTTCAAGATGGTGCTTTCATTTCCTTCAGATAAATACCCAGAAGTCAAATTTCCTTCTTCTTTCAAGGACAGGAGACACTGGATTAAGGCTGACCAAATTCAGTATGACCTCATCCTACCTAACTTGATTACATCTGCGAAGACCTTATTTCCAAATAAGGTCACGTTCACAGGAGCCAGGGGTTAGAGCTGGAACATACCTTTTTGGGAGACACAATTAAACCCACAACAGCATTTATTTCTACTGTAAAAAAAAAAAAAAATCCAGTTTGGTTCTCATTTGTCTTTTGTTTCCAAAATGTGCTGCAGCACAAAAGCCCTGCTGCAGAAACTGAGCATATTCAAGTTTGATCTGAATAACTGAACTGTACTATATACTAGTATTTCTAGATGTTTGAAGTTTTAAAAAGCTCCCCCAAATTCTAAGATGTATCACTAGGTTCATCACATATGTAATCAAGAGAACTGGACTTAGTGATTCAAAAGATATCTACCAGTTCCTGATTAAAAATTTAAAAGTAAAAAAAAAAAAAATGCACAGCAAAATTAAAAATATATATAATTAGCATAAAATTTTCAGAGATGCTGTTATCCCAATGCCTTTTTCAGCTTATTACCAAAATTGAGTCTGTTATGTGGAGGCACCAACATGAATTTCAGCTGTTTTGAGTCTGTTTGCATGAATATTCACACAAACATGCCTAATACAATTCCAATGTGTTCGACACTCATAGAATTTACATGTTTTATAACAGCTCAGTATGAAAAACCTGAGGAGAGTTGGACTATTTTTCTGAGGGTTGAGGTGGCCAAGGTATATTAACATTGTGGACCAGTAGTTTTATTGCTAGCTTTACCCAGTGGCCAGATAAGTTTCTATTGAACGAGTACAAAAAACTTTTTACATAAATGTTAAAGGCACACTTTAAAATTAAATACCCATTGCATTTTGAAGTTGTTTATTACATGTTCTTACAAGCTAATATCTTTTTATTTTTTTCTCTGATACATTTTTTTTTATTGCTTAAAGTATTACAAAGAGTATTACATAGGTCTCCTTTTTTTTTTCTCCTCTTGACATTCCCCCGGGCTCCCCTAGCCCCCAGTGTCTTATGTCCATTGGTTATGCTTATATGCATGCATACAAGTCCTTCGGTTGATCTCTTACCCCCCTTTCCCATCTCCCAACCTTCCTGCTGTAGTTTGACAGTCCATTCGATGCTGCTCTGCCTGTGTTTATTTTTGTTCATCAGTTTATAATGGTCTTTATTATCCATAAATGAGTGAGATCATGTGGTATTTTTCTTTCATTGACTGGCTTATTTCACTTAGCATAATGTTCTCCAGTTCCATCCATGCTGTTGCAAATGGTAAGGATTCCTTCTTTTTTACAGCAGCATAGTATTCCATCGTGTAGATGAAGCTAATATCTTTTTAAAGTATGATACTTTGTAAAACACTGTGTAATAGAAGTGAAACTAAACAAAGCTGGCAAATGTAATGCGTTTCTCTTCTCTTACTATTACTTTTGCATACTTTGCAAACTTTAGGATATTTTTTATATATAGTTTCTGCAATTGAAATGCTATTATAATAGTTATCTTGGTATATGTGATGCCCCAATTCCAGATACGGCCAAAGTAGTGACAGAATAGTCATTCAATTTTTTTCCTTCACCTGTGTAAATTTCCATATTGCAAATATACCGTCTTGCTCTCACATACCATTCTTACAATAAACCATATTTAATAATTTTAGCTGGGTTGTTAAGTTCGAAATAGAAGATCTCCCCTCTGGGGAATCATGGCCTTCATCTAATGATAATTCTAGCATAGTTTTATATATTGTTTGAAATTTACTAATAAAGTGGTGGAGTACAGATTGAATTTTAAATAGCCTGGATGAAGATTTAGTCATGTTTGCATTGTCATTGAAATGCCAATAAGTCCAGATTTGTTCAAAATGATTTTGACTCATTGTCTCAGGAAATATTGGAACAGCTAGAACTGGATTTGTAGACCAATATTCTTTCCAAGTATCCTTTCGAGTATGCTCCATTAGCACCATAAGTCCTAAAAAATTTTTCCTATCTGTTGGAGTAACAGGAGACCACTTTATTGCTTTCTAAATTTTGTGCTTTCCCAAATTTTGGTTACATGTTCAATTGATGACAAAATAGTTCAAACAGATCATCATCAAAAATCAAGTTGGTGACTTCAATGATGTTCTTAGAATCAGACGGTATAACTGTAACCCCAGAATTACCTTCAAATTTTTCCAAATTAGGTTGAAAGTCCTCTTTTGACCAATCATTATCTCGGCAACCAAGATGCAAATTACACTCAAAATCATGTGTGGAATTGTTCAAAATTTCAAGTTCGGAATCACTTGAAATTACTAATTTTCGCCTTTTTGAAGGAATAACTATATCTAACTGTATCACTACCACTGTCAAAGCTTTCATCACTTTCACTTGAAATATCTGATAAATTGTCAGCAAATCTATCCAGATTTTTATCATGTTCTTCATCACTATCCACGGTTACTGAACAGTTTAAAAATACCAAATTGATATTAAAAAGTTATTTTTATTACTAATGACAAGAGACTAATCACTTTATGGTTACTGAACACTTTAAAAATACCAAATCGGTATAAAAAAGTTATTTTTATTACTAACGACAAGAGACTAATCACTTTTCATTCCTTTTGTAATTTTTAACTCCAGCGAATGTGTTTTCCGTTACAATTTCTCTCTAAATGACAATGAAAAGCCGAGAATTCGGGTGATTGGCCACAAGCTTTAGAACAGAAAACACGAGAATTCAAGTGACCCGTCCGCAATGTGTTAACCACACCCAATAAGGCCTTAATTCTAGAGACCATGAGGGCAACCCGTAAGTCACTCCAAATAGCATCGACACTAAACTGTAAACAAGCAGAGTAAAGTGCAAATCCTAGTTTTTCCATAACTACTTTATTTCGAGTTCTTTTTCTGGAATACCTTTTTAGTGTGCTCACATTTTGCTAGTGCCGAGACATGCTCAGTGTGCCTCTTGGGTGGTACAGACTTCTGCCTTCAGCCTCACCACCTCCCAGACTAAGACTATACAGGAGGTTCCAGAAGGAAAGAACCAGGCACACAGCACCCTTCTCTTCCCTCTCAAGGCCCTCCATTCGATTCAGTGGCAGTGTCCCTGCCTAAAGGCTTCAGTGTGCTCCAAGCCAATGGTGGCTGAGCAGCTAGCTTGGGAACAAGGAAGCCAGGGCCAGCAGGCAACAGAGGGGCACACTGATACAAGGATACCACCAAGAGGCATGAATTTTGCTTGTAGCTGCCCATTTTAACACAGCTCAACAGGCTGTTTAGATAATCACATCATCTAAATAATTCCACATTACACTTGAAATTAGAACCTGGAACAACATGCAGCAACAGGCCTCCACTGATAAGAGGAAGCACAGCACTGACCCTTTCTCCCATTCTCCTAAACATGCGGCGTAGTGAGAATAAGCGCTTTTAAGTCAGATGGTCCCAAACCAATTATTTTTACAATGCAAGTGCAAGTGATGTATCAGAATGAACGTTATGAATCAGAAAACTTACACAATCAAGAACTATAATATGCTATACAAACAACACAAGATTGAAGGTATACTGTTTTCCAGATTTTTTATTCTTTTAACATCTTAACAAAAGAATATTCCCCAAAGTTTAAAAAATACAGTTTTATATTATATACATATGAGTACAGATTCCAATATCATACAAACATTGCCATGTTAGAAATACAGTGGGAAGGCATGCTATAATTCACTGCCTCTTGGAGGGTGTAGGCTCATGGATATGTTTTATTATTCCAACTACTTCTGTTACTTGTTATCCTGAAAAACTATTAGGCACCTGAGAGGTTGGAAGACTACTGAACATGAACTTCAATACCTTCTATTTTGATCTTTATAATCTCTTTACAAGTTTACTTCATCTACAACTAAGGTACCTTTATTGTCATTAGCCTAAATGATCAAATATTAACCACATTAACTGTTAATATACATACTGATCAAATTAAACTTAAAGTTGTATAGCCACCTTGTGTAGGCTACATATATTTAAACCTAGGAAATTCCCCAATGCTTTGTGAGCGATCTAAGTTCTATTAAAGAGAAGTGGCAATTCTCCAGTTTCCATGCTCTGGACACTACTTTTTAAAAAAAATATTAAAAAATGACTGACAATAATTGGAATTGATTCCTTATAAGTTAATCAAGAAACCTAAGGTAAAAAATTCTAAACGATAGTTTTATTTGTATTTAAAAATACATTGGAAATTCTGCATATGCCCATGATCAAGCTTATTTTCAATGCACATTAAATACTGATGACATGGTTTGATCTGACAAGTCCTTTTTCAAAGTAGGGAGACTCCTGTACATTTCCACTGGCCCTGCTGCCAATGATGTATATTGCTTCCTTGCTAATGATGGCGGATGACCTTCATCTGCCATTTATCACCTGAACAGTTTTCCGACCGTAACGATAATAACTGTAAGCTGATGCAACTGTGGTGAAAGCTGTAAAACACCTTTAATGGAAAAAAAGAAAATTTAGTTGTCAAGTAAAGGTCAGTAACTGTGAGAGTGATAAAAAAATACACTTAAAATTATTTAAAAAGTAAAAAAGGCTGTGTGGTATAAAATTATTTTTAACTACAAAATTTAAATACACTGCTTTTCTTTAAGACCTCATTAGAATTAGTAACGTCAAACAAATCTAGTTCCTGAGCCCAAGAACACAATGATAATCCTAGCAATTGTCATTTTTACCCAGACATTACTCTAGGTGTCTTATATTCTCACTAGAGGACCAGTGCTCGAAATCGTGCATGGGTAGGGTCCCTGGCGGCTGCTGGCTGCCAGCCAGGGCCTCCCTTCCCCAGCTGCCAGCCGGGGCCTCCCTTCGTTCTGCCCCTGGTGGTCAGCACACGTCATAGCAAGTGATCCAAGTCCTGTTTGGTAGAACTCCTGAGGGGACACTTTGCATATTGGGCTTTTTATATATATAGATATTATTTTTGCAACAGAGAAGTTGGTCAGGGCCATGGAACCACACCATAGCCTGGCCTGGCTTCAACTCTGGAGCCGTGTGCCCTTTCTACTACTCCATGCTGCTGAGAGTCTTAGACTCTATTTCTTTTTTTTCAAAATATATTTTATTGATATTCTACAGAGAGGAAGGGAGAGAGATAGAGAGTTAGAAACATCGATGAGAGGGAAGCCGACGCTCTATCCACTGAGCCAAACCGGTTTTGGCTAGACTCTATTTCTTGAAATCTGAGTCATTTAAAATAAATTTCAGTTTTCTTTTCTGATTCTTCCTCAAGCGAACTGCCAGACTGACCCGACTTTCTCCTGGAAGTTAGATCAGTGGTGGTCATGGCTTGCTGAATGCTCACAGCCAACAGGGTACTTCTTAGTGCGTTGTGCACTTCTGCTCTACCAGGTGAGGTGTAGGACCATCCAGACTATTTTTATTTGATCCCAAAGCTGTTCATGCCAGTTAAATATTCTAAATTCACACAAGCCAATGAAAAATACATGTAGGAAAAGCTGCTGTTTCTGAGAACTAAGTGGATGCTTTAAAGACTTGATAACCAGCCAAGTTGCTAAAAAATACTATAAAGTAAGCAGGTAATGTGGCTGTTAAAATACAAGAGAAAATGTTACAAAATCTAGAAAGTTTATATTCAGATTGCTTTGTAAATGTCTTAAAGTCTTACATCACTTTAAAATAAGCAGAACATGAAAATCAGAGATGTATTCAAAGAAAAGGTGTTGGTCTTATTCAGAAGATGTAGAATGAATAAGAATCAATGTACACTTACATATCC